TGGCAGTGACTCTACAACATAATTAACAATTTCATTTACTTCATTGCTGTTGCTGTGGTTGCTGAAGATGGGAGGCGTGGCAGTGTGGGTGCATGAATGGTGGTGGACATGCAAAAGTGAAATAGGTGGAAAGAAACGGCTGCCAGAGACGGGTGGAGTTGAGGTGGAGAGAAAGCAACTATCCATTGGCACTCATCTACTCATTTATCCAAACAAACATGCTCGCCTGAACTGAAAATTAGTAATTCCATCAAATCCACCGCCTCCGCCTCGAAATCCACCGCAGAACTGTGCAGAACTGCACGCATCGGCTTCTTGTGCCTGAGAGTGTCTTCGTCGGCGGCGATCTCCGACAGGCAATAAAGTTCATGTGTCTTCGTCGGCGGCGGCGATCTCCTGTGCTTTTTTGTGATAGAGAGAATTGTGAGAATAGAGGGAGAGATAGAAAGAGAGAGAGGGGATCGCAATGTGCAGAGTGGTGACAAAAAAGCTCGCCGACTCGAACGGCTCGGGCTCTGTTCGAAAAAAGTTCGAGGGGGCCCGACTTGGGCCCGGCAGAACCGAGCCCAAGCTCTGGCCGAGCCCCATTTTGGGGGGTCGACCCGAGACGGGGCCAGCGTCCACACGAGCCGAACTGTGATTAATTTTTTAAAAAAAATTTAAAATAAAATAGCTGAAAAATTTTTTTTAAAAAAAATCAAGCCGGCTCGAGCGGAGCCTTATTTTTTTGGTCGGGCTCGGCCCCAAAAAAACCCGAGTTAAGTCCGAGCTTTTTTTTTTCAACTCGACTCGTTGACATAACTAAACTTGCATTACACGTTATTATGAAATACTTTAAAAGTATTATAAAATTAATATTTAAATATGTGTGAATGTTAATTAATTTAAAATTAATAACAATTAATATATACGTAACAATGAATGTTAAATCATTTATTTAATTTTCAATTAAATAAAATTTGATGTTCATTTGTATAAATGGACATAAGTAATGAAATGCATTCCTAATGTGAAACTCTAATTAATTTATAATTATAATTAATAACACTGAAATATACCAATGAAGATGAATATTAATTAAATAAATGTGAATATTAATTAATTGAGAATTAATAATGTGATAATCATACATTAATGAAAGGTAAAGTAAAATATTATTGAAATAATGGAATTATAGGTTTAGAATCGTAAAAAAAAATGATTTTCACTTGATTTGATATTTAACATATTATAGATAATTATTAACTAATGAAAAATAACTATTTTTAGTTGTCTTTTGTTAGCTTTGACCTTTTACAATAATTTGATAGACTCTTGTAAGAGTTCGTTTGAGCCTATTTTTGTCCAAAATGTATTTTGAAATAATATTTTAATCAATAATGTGTTTTTAAAAAATAAAAAAAAAAGTTTTGAATTTATGAATAATACTATTTTATTAAAAATGTGATTGAAAATAAAAGAAAAAAAAATGTATTTTGAAAATAATGAGGACCAAATATGTGCTAAATTTCTTAATAGTAACAATATTTTTTCTTTTATTTGTCATATTGTATGTTAACCTTGAAATTAATTAAGCCCCAGTTTGACTTCATCTTATTTTATTCCCAGTAAAACAATTCAATTTCCTGAAATTCATTTTTTTTTCAACCATTTGTAACATTTACAAGGACCCTAAGTTCTAACAAATTTTTTTAAAAGTTGATAAGCATTGTCAGGGGCGGACCGAGGGGGGGGGGGGGTGTCCTAGGGGGCAAGTGCCCCCAATTTTTGAGAATTTTTTTTTTTAAATAGAATCGTGTTTGGTATCGATTGAAATCTAAATTTTAATTTGAATCAAAGTTAACAATTAATTTTAATATCATATTTCATGAAATCCATAATTATTTAACTTTTATCAAAATTTACTAAAAAATTGATTTTAATCTCCACAGACATGGGCAAAATCACAATAAATTTGAATTTCGATAACATGTTAATTTTAAAAATTCTCCGACGATCGTACGCTAATCGAATCTACAAATTGTTTTTGTTATCTCAAAACTTATTTCGTGAACTACATTATGAATATATCGAATAGTTCAAACATATATCGAAAATAGTTAAAAATACATTAAATGTAAGTCTTGAAAAAAGACGTCTAATTCGCATTTTGTTTTTAAAATTCAATTATTTCATTAACATTTATTATTTTTGCGATACAAATTTCTCAATATATTTTTTTTCATTTTATTAGGAAACTTTGTATGGAATATGACATCAAAAAATTTCGANACAAGCTAATGTTAAAAATTCGCCAACAATCGTACGCTAATTGATTCTATAAATTGCTTATGTCATCTTAAAGCTGATTTCGAGAACTACATTATGTGCATATCGAATAGTCCAAATAGATATCGAAATGAGTTAAAAATACGTTAAATGTGAATATTAAAGAAAGACGTCTAACTCGCTTTTTTAAAAAAAAAAATTCAATTATTTCATTAACATTTATTAATTTTACGATACAAATTTCATAATGTAATTTTCATCATTTTAATTTTATATGGAATATGACATCAAAAAATTTCGAAATTTTACATCGAAAAAAGTCATATCCCATATAAATTTTTGAATATAAAATTACATGGGGTATGATTTTTTTGGAAGTAAATTTTCAATTGTAAAATTTCTCACAACTTATTTGTAAGTTCGATTGTGCCCCTCTAACTTTTATGTTCTGTGTTCGCCCCTGAGCATTGTGAATATCATGAAACGTGTCCTTGACTTTTTAAGTTTTTATTCAAACAAATTCAAACTTAACTTCTATTTTGGATAATGAGTAAATTCCGAACCTTTTGAGAAGTAATACTAAAATAATCTTTATAATTATCCACTATAATTGACAGTGTAACGATCCAAATTTTATAATTTAAGTCGCCACTAAAAGTTTTAATAAAATTTAGCATCGTGACATAAATTTTTACATAACATTATTTATGCTCAAAGTTACATAGAAAACTTACAAATCCTTTATTTATTTGTGCTCAAGTTTGAATAATGAAGACCAACATAAATTAAACTAGCTCGAACTCATCAAGTCAACGTACCGAATTTTAAATTGAAACAACTTTTGTTCCAA